TATTAGGTAGAATGTCTTTTTTAATCTATTTATATTTTGCTGTGTAAACTTTCTTATACTCTCCCTGCTTCTGTGACCTTTGTCTAGAGGTGTAAAATTTGACTCTAATCTGCCCTACTCACTCAACAATGCACATGGACAATGACTCTTGAACACACTTTTAGCAGAAATCATTTTATAATTGCCCTTCTCATCTTCAAACACTGTCTGATAGAAACAGGAGGGACTGGGGAAAATTCAAATACCTGTAACCAGATGGGATTTCACTGACTTAGGAGTGGTGTGGAGGTTGAGCATGAAATCAGAATCAGAAAGGGCCTCCCCGGTGGCACAGCGGTTGAGCGCTGGGTTGCGAAGCTGCCCGCAGCCTCTGCAGTGCCAGTTCGATCCCTGGCTGCTCCCCGGTCGCCGGAGGAGGGCCCCACATGGCGCGCAGACCTCTCCTGCCGCCCGCTGCTCCCCTCAGCAGTGTACTTCGGTCCTTCTGCCTGCTCTGCTCCCTGCTCTGGCTGTGGTGAATTCTCTCACCCTCCCGCGCTTCTGACTGTACCCAGTGCTTGTATAAATAAATAAATAAAAATAAATCTTAAAAAAAAAAAATCAGAATCAGAAACAAAAGCATCACTTTGTGACAATAACAGTGTAAAGATTTATAGCAGAAATTTTTATTGTAGAAAATTAAATAATTTCAAAAGGGAAAATCTTGAATAAATTATAACATATTCCTACTAAGTAATATGAGATAGCTCTGAAGAAAATTAACATGGAGGGATACTGTTAAATCAAAAAAGCCGGGCCTCCCCTGGTGGCGCAGCAGTTGAACGCTGGGTTGCGAGGCTGCCTGCAGCCTCTGCAGTGCCAGTTCGATCCCCGGCCACCCGCGAGGGTCCCACAAAAAAAAAAAAAAAAAAAAAAAAAATCAAAAAAGCCACTGCTGAGAAATGTGTATAAAATGTGTTTTTGTAAACATGAAAACCCTTCCAAATTTCTATAAATGTGAATACAGAGAAAATTGTAGAAAGAGGTCTACCAAACTGGCAGTTTTTTAATATCACCAAATTCCAAATTCTCTCATAAAAACACAAAACTGGCAACAAAACCAAAATCTTGTCACAACATTTCCAACAATCATAAATGAAGTGATACCAAAAACAAGTGGGTGAGGACAGACCACCAACAGCTAAGGGGCCTGTGGGGTGTCAGCATTTGTGTGGCAGGGAGCAAAGGCATCTGACACCCCTGAGGCCAACAGGTATTCACTGGAAACAGCAAGTAATACAGAAACGGTCTTTTCCAATCAGTACAGTAAGTCCTCACTTAACATTGTCATTTAGTTTTCAGAAAGTACTTTAGAAATTGTAACGGAACCAATTTGACCATAGATGAATTGATATAAACAAGGGTTATATTACTATGGCATGTTTTTGGTCACAAAATACATCTCCAACCTGGGCCTCCCCGGTGGTGCAGTGGTTGAGCGCTGGGTTATGAAGTTGCCCGCAGCCTCTGCAGCGCCGGTTCAATCCCCAGCCACCGGGTGAGGGTCCCACATGGCACGCATACCTCTCCTGCCGCCCGCTGCTCCCCTCCGCAGTGTACTTCGTCAGTCTGCCTGTTCTGCTCCCCGCTCTGGTTCTGGTGAATTCTCTCACCCTCCTGCGCTTCTGACTGTACCCAGTGCTTGTATAAATAAATAAATCTTTAAAAAAAAAAAACCTCCAACCTTCTAAATAAAACCCCAAGTCACTGCTAATATTAAAATATCATTCCTATCATTCATTCAAAAAATCCACCCCAGTTCAGGGTGTTAGGTGGCCAGAGGCTATCCTGGCAGGTGAGGGCATAAAGCATGACCCAACCCTAGACAGGAGGCCCTTCCATTTCATGGCACCTTCAGACACACTCCCTCTCCTGACTCACTGGGATATGGAGAAAGGCCAGAAAACCTCACCGGCACATCTTTAGGATGAAATCCATGGGGACATGAGGAGATGTGCAAACTCCACACAGATACAGGCAGGAAACCAGTGGTTTTTTTTTTTTTTTTTTCATCAACTTTATAACAAAACTCTATTTAAGAAAGAATGGCGGGCCTCCCTGGCACCGCACTATGAAGCAATCCACAGCTTCTGCAGCAATGGTATTTGAGGACCTGCTGTAGCTGGTTCTTTACAAGTGGTAGGAAGTAAGACCTAAAAGGACTGCAGTAGTGTAGACCCTAGTGTAGACCCTTGAACTGAGCCCCAAGGCGCTCTTCTAGGACAGCTCCACACTGAGGAGAAAGTGCTTGAAGTGGGATAAAATTGTATCAGGGCAGGAGCAATAGAGCCGATATTAGATGCTATCTGGATAAAAATGGAGAAGGGGAACAACGCTAAGAAATCAGAGTTATGGTATATTCATTCTTTCTCTTCCATACTGCCTCCCTCCCCACCTTCTCCCCCACCTCGAAACATTACACAAAAACAACAGCAGAGGGAGCGAAAGCTCTCCTGAAGGAGGCCTTCTCTAAACTAAGGAAAACAACTTCCAGAAGGATTGAAGGGGGAGCAAAGTGGGGAGAGGGCCCAGTGGACTGTGATGGAGGAATAATGGAGTTTTGGTGTGTTCCTGGTGTAATAACATACGTTTGAAGAGGTGTGAACCTATATCCCTACAACAAAATGTTGTAAAAGTAATTGAATTTTTTAAAAGAAAGGCGGCTTGGGCCTCCCTGGTGGTGCAAGGGGTTAAGCACCGCCCTATGAAGCAATCTGCAGCCTCGGCAGCATGAGTTCCATCCCCTGCAGGCCAGGGAGCTACCCACATGGCGCAGCAGACCTCTCCTGTCTCACCCACTGCTCCCCTCAGCAGAGTGTCTCAGTCAGTCTGCTCTTTTCTCTACTCTGTCCCTAGTCCTCTCACCCCCGGCATCTCTGGCCTGTACCCCAGTTCTTGATGCATAAATAAATCTTTAAATATATATACATACAAAAGAAAGGAGGATCAAGGAAAACGAGGGTACCAATAATAGGAAGAAAAGAAAAAAACTGTTTTTTGAGAATGAAATGTTTCCCATCATAGGGGACTCTTAAGCACAATGTCCACCTATGCAACGCACTAGCTGGCTATCTTTTGGCGTAACTGTTACTTCTTTACATGAACAGCACCCAGGTTGGTGCCTTCAAAAAGGCCAACCAGGTAGGCCTCCCTTGCAAAGCACCAACAGCTGCGCTCTGGAAGGGCCGATCTGTTTGCAAGTCCTGAGCAATCTCTCGCACCAGACGCTGGAAGGGAAGTTGGCGAATGAGAAGTGGACTTCTGCTACCAAAACACCTGATTCCACCGGCATTGCCGCGCCGGGCCTGGAACGATGTGGTTTCCTCGCCGCCCAGCAGAGGGCGCACGCCACCTGCGGCTTTCCGAGCCAGGTGCTTCCCGGTGCTCTACACCGTCGGTCTGCGGGCAGGCGGCTTCGTGCGCGCCCCGGTGTGGGGGCCTCCTTGCGTCCCCCCGTTCTTCGTCTGGAGGGCGGCTGCGAACGCCAAGTCTTGGTTTTTGAAAATTAGGTCGAGTAACAGCTGCCATACAGGGCTGCTGTGGGACGCACAGCGGCTGGGTTTATTCTTATTTCAGCTGGGGATTTCCATAATGACACAAAACGGACTCGAAAGTTTCCGCCTCCTCGCTCCGGGTCAGTCCTGAAATTCCGCCCTCTTCCAAATGCCCCCTTCCACCCGGCGCTCCTCTTCCTCCGCCTTTGACTCTGTGCGTGACACTCGCCGGCGCGATCCAGTTACGTCGACGTGCAGTTGGGCAAGCGCAGTCCCTGCGTCCGGGTCTAGAGTGACGCTACATCCGGCTGTGACCTCACCAACATGGCTGCCGGAGGTGGCTTTCCGGAAGAAGGAAGGTGGGGACCTGCGGGATCACTTCCGCTTCCGTTGGCGCAAGCGCTTTCGTTTCTGCTGCCGCCGTGACTAAGATGGAACCGTTTTGGGAGTCGCGGTCCGGGCATTGGGCCGGGGGTCCCGCCCCGGGGCAATTTTACCGCATTCCGCCCACTCCCGGCTCCTTCCCCGACCCAGCGTCCGCGCCCTTCGGGGGTCCGATCACGCGCACTCAGTAAGCTTTCGGCGCCTGAGCCTGCTCTGGGGGGGGACGCCGGGCCCGGCGCCGCGGCGGGGAAGGCGCGAGCCCGGGAAGGCCAGGCAGGGACCCGGGCGCGCGAGCGGCGGGGCTGCCCCGGGCACAGAATCCGGGAGAAGGCCGCGTCGCTGACAGGCGCCTCCGAGAATCAGCAGCGCAGCCCTGTGCGGGAGGAGGGCTCAGGTCCTCCCCGCGCCGCCGCGCCAGACCCCTCTTTACCCCTCCAGGAACCCCATGGTGACCGGGACCTCGGTCCTCGGTGTTAAGTTTGACGGCGGAGTGGTGATCGCAGCAGACATGCTGGGCTCCTACGGCTCGCTCGCTCGTTTCCGCAACATCTCCCGCATCATGCGAGTCAACGACAGCACCATGCTGGGGGCATCCGGAGACTACGCGGATTTCCAGTATTTGAAGCAAGTTCTCGGCCAGATGGTGTAAGTCGCCTAGAATACTGAGTAGTCGGCCCAAGTGAGAAGGGCCGGCCACTGCTTTTTTACTTTTTTCTAAATCTCCTTAGATGGGGTGAAGGGACTTGAGGCTGCAATAGTGGACAGGGAGAGGGAATGGAGGATGTGTTTGGAGTAAGTAGGTTTTGGCGTTAGGACGGGTAAAATGGGGAAGCTTGTGGTTCTTTTCGGGGTGGATAGAAATCCCGACTTGCATTTTCTTTCTCACAACCAATTACTAGGATTGATGAAGAGCTTTTGGGAGACGGACACAGCTATAGCCCTAAAGCTATTCATTCGTGGCTGACTAGAGCCATGTACAGCCGTCGCTCCAAGATGAACCCCCTGTGGAACACCATGGTCATCGGAGGCTATGCTGATGGAGAGAGGTTGGTTTGAATACAAGTAACTTATTACTTTCACCACCCAACCACCAGTGCCTGTGTAGTCTCTCTCACCCGGTGAATCCCACTTCTAACTCAGGTGCCATGGTCCCAGTCTTTGGCTAAGGTAGAGAAACCCAAGATGAAATGATTTCTCTTATTGATATTTTTCTTCTTAGTTTCCTCGGTTATGTGGACATGCTTGGTGTAGCCTATGAAGCTCCTTCCTTGGCCACTGGTTATGGTGCATACTTGGCTCAGGTAAGTAGTTGAGGGGTGGGCGGTTCTGGCAAAAGACAAATGGGGGTTAGTGGTTGTCTGCTTGTTCTTCCCTTGAAATTCTGGCATGAGGTTAGGACCCCTACTTCTTGGCAGTGTAATCCAGAGGCCGTTAGTGTGAAATTCATATTCCAATGACAAGGTGGCATACCTTGAAATCAGTAAGACCTGTGCAGAGAGGACACCCTAGAACTTTGCTTCAAGTGGGTCTTAGCACAGGTGAGCAGAGTTCATTCTGGTGACAACAGGTGAAATGTTCTTTTTTATTCATTCATGTTTGTTTACATTGTTTTGAGATAGATGTCTTGGTATTTCTCAAGTATCTCCCATGTCCCCTCACACCTCTAATCTCCCTAGCCCCTGCTGAGAGAAGTTCTGGAGAAGCAGCCGGTGCTGAGCCAGACTGAGGCCCGAGAGCTAGTGGAACGTTGCATGCGAGTGCTGTACTATCGAGATGCCCGTTCTTATAACCGGGTGAGGAGGGGCGTGAATAATGGGAATGTAACTGGCAGGCTTTGGAAACTTCTGGTCTCTGGGTCTATGGTTTGAAGAATCGATGGACCCATTTCTTTCTCCTTGACCTGCCCCCTATTTCTTTCAGTTTCAAATTGCCACTGTAACAGAAAAAGGTGTTGAAATAGAGGGACCACTGTCTGCAGAGACCAACTGGGATATTGCCCACATGATCAGGTAATTGAAATTACAGTTAAAAAAAAATACATGAGAATTGGGAGGCCTGCCCTTTGGCATCACACTGGGTTTTGGCTAGAGGGTAGTTGCTGTTAGAAACTGATTCCTCTTCCTGTGGCTTCATGACTTTATCGTCTCTCTTCTTTTTTAGTGGCTTTGAATGAAATAGAGATGCATTCTCCAGTACTGAAGTTTTACCCTTCTGCTACCTTTGAATGTTGCTGAGTCAAGGTAGACTTACCTTTTGTAAAATAAATAAATTCTTTGAAATACTTGCTGAGTAGGTGTATTACATCTAATTAGGTCCTATCAAAAGGACAGTACTAAGTATTACCGTATACCACGTCCCTCCCTGGTCATAGGACCCTTGGCACTTGGTCCATTAGACAAATGTAGAATCCTTTGCATGACACTACAGAGGACCCACGACTGTACTAAAGGCAGGCTTAATCCTTGTGTGGTAACATAACTGGTTTTGTGTTTTAACATTTTTTCCAACATTTCCATCCATGCACTAGAGTCTAAAATGCAAGGGTTCTGCTTAACAGTGACTGCAAATTTGATTACTAGTTAAAACACAATTTCAAAGAGAAATGTAGCATGTAATAGACGTACTCACCATTAGGTGACCCCCAAACTCTGAACTGGCTCTCTCAATCCCTCATCTACCCAACCTCACCCCATTCATAAAAGGAATACTATGATTTCAACATTTAAATGTTTACTACCTAAATATATTAATTTCTGGCACTATCAGTTAACTTCTTACAAGTATTACGTTCATTAAAAATACCCCAAGTATAGCTGTGCATCAGATTAGTTCAGGTATTGGCCAAACTTTTATCTCCCAAATGATATTAAACCTACCTTTGAAAAATGAACACCCTTGGTGATTCAGATGCTCTCTAAAACTTTGAAAAACTAGAAACTCAGAAAGTGTTGTAGAAATTCAGTAAGTTAAGGGAACTATCAAAACCCCTCCATTTGTATGTATAGTTACAACAAAAGTTTATGCAAAAGAAAATCATGAACTTTCAATTTATCTTCCACACATTCAGTCTCAACACAAAGTAGTCAATAAATACTGGTTTATTGATTAAACTGAATTATAAAAAACAAAACAAAAAAAAAAACTTCCTTCTACTACTAAGCCATGCAGGCGGAATCCACAAGGGTATAACTTCCTGGCCAACACCCAGCTGATTCACTGTTGTTATTGTGGTCTTTTAAAAAATTTACCAATCAAGAAAGTCATACAGTGTGCAGAGACCAGGACCCCAGCTCTGCTAACTCTGGGGCTGCTGCAGAGACTACCAAAGAGAAGAATTAAGTCACTGTGGACAGGGCTGACCATTAGTTCTTGAACTTTCTCAAAGGCATTGGGCTGACTTAAAAGTCCATAGTCTGTCAAAGTAGCATCAAGCAAAAAGCTGGGGAAGAGAAGCCCAATTGGATCCTCAGTTCAGTTTCAGATGCCATGGCTTCACAAAGCTGGCCAAGCTGTTTCTGGAAGGGATCACTCCAGTTCACTATATTATAGTGTGCTGGGGGTTAAAAGACAAAAAAAAAAACAAACAGGAGTGAGGAGAAACAGGTAGTAACAAACGTTACACCTGTATACCAGGCCCATCACATCTTGAGCATCTCCCAGTCTGTGAAAGCCTATTAAAATAGGGTGACCTAGAAAATAACCACATTGTTTATAAATCCATTTCCCCTTATTTTATTAAATGTTCCACTTATGTACATTTTAAAGATGAACCATTTACAAGCCTGTGCAGGTTGCCTCCTTGACTCACAGGAGGGAAACATTGCTGAAAAAGCCTCAGGATGGACAGAAGAGTGGTGTAGCTGTGGGCAAGGTGGACTTGAATTTTTGTTCCTTTTGTTATAGTACACTTCAGTTTATAATCATGAGTACATACAATTTAAAAAAAAAAAATCCCTCATGCAAACTGTAGAAAAAATTTTTCCTTGAAGCTGGCAGTGAAAAATAAAGATTCTTGTCTTTTTCTTTGTGCACACCCCTGTGTGTCTTCTTTAGGTCAGATTCTTTTCTGATCATTAAAAGACAGGGGAAAGCCACGGGATTTCAACAAGTGGTCTGTCTTCTTTTTAAAAGTTCAACACTTCTTGCACAATTAGCTTCTGTAGGACATGTGGTCTCCTGAACAGGCATGCTGTCCATGTAACAGGATGAAGTTCAACCAAGAAAGGACAGCGGGATGAAGCCCCATACTGAGAATGGCCTCCACCCTACAGCTGTGTGATCCCCTCAGTACCTCCAGGTTGCAATAAAACCTGTGTGGTCCTTTGTCCAAGAATGGTGGTGCGAGAATGGGGCAAGGGACCAAGGGCAACAAGTGCAAAGAATATTGGTTTTGTCATGTTTTTGTCAGTGGAAGATGGTAAGGAGTAACAATCTATTCATTCTGGATGACTAAAGGTGGTTTCATGCATTTTTAAAGCCACAATTTTATGTCTAGAGTTGTAGAAACAACATCTCTGGAGAGGGAAGGAAAGTAAGGAGAAGGAAGAGAGTTCAGTGGGGTTTTTTTTTCCATTTTCGCTTTTATATAAAAGTGTTAAGACCACATGAAAAAAGTTGTTTATCCATATATATAATAAATCAGTTTGTGAGCTACATATTTTTATCTTTCCCATCTTCAGAAATGTTCTCACATTGACAATGGTTGGATAGCATCATGCCCAAAGACATTGGCCACAGTCAAATTTAACAAAAAACCCAGATGTACTATGACACAAGTGAGGTAAAAGGGGAAACAAAAAACATTTGTCCACAAGGATTTTTTTTCTTTTTCTTGATTTTGTCAGAAAAATACCAAACACAGTGATTTAAAAAAAAAAAAAAAAAGTCACAAAAAAAAATTTTTTTCAGAAGTGAATGACCAACGGGCCAGCTCCTCGGCTCAGACGTGATCACTATTGGTTTTCCTAATAACCCACAAATCCACAGGGAAGTATAAGTCAACATGGGGGAGGGGGTGGCATAAAATTTAAAAATATAAGCCAAATACTCCACCTGGTATACCCCCTTTTCCCTAAATCCCTGTACCCTCCCTCACACTTTCCCACCCCCACTCCACACCCCCTTCATGACCCCAACACTCAAATCTCCATCAGATCTAGGTCAGCTTCTTCAAAGCCATAGAAGGACTCAGTCTCACTTTCACCCTCAAAGAGCTGGTGAAGGCTCTCAGGCTCAATTGTCTCTTCGGGAGATGACCTGGGTCGGGGAGTAGAAGCTGAGGGCTCTTCAGACTGTTCCCCACTCAGCTTCAGCTGCTCCTCTAGGGAGGCAATTAGCTCCTCCTGCATGTCAGCATTTCTTGTGGGTGAGTTAATGTTGCCATCAGGGCCAGGCAAAACACTAGCCACAAGGAAGGACCGCTGAACTAGCTCTGGACAGTCCCCAATGACGCCCAGCACTTCAGCCAGCCAGACCAGCACCAGCTGAAGCAGAACATCAGAATCACATCCAGTATCTGCCATTTCTCGAGCCTGTTCCTTCCACTTTTTGTGCAGGAAGTTCTTGACAGTTCGTTTGATGCACACATCTAATGGCTGGATTTTGGAGCTACAGCCTGCTGGGACCACTGCAGGCAAAGTGCTAGAGGCACTAAGCATAGCCAGCACCTCTTCTGACAAGTGAGTGCGGTGGCAGTCCATCACAAGCATGCCTTTGCCGCGCTGGCAAGCCGTGTGCTTCTGCCACACTCGGGATGACCACAGCTCCATGATCTCGTCATCACTGTAGCCACTCTCCTTCACCTCTAGCAATATAGAGTCTGGCACATTAGCAGGCTGATCCATCTGTCCTCGGTAGAAAACCAGCGTGGGGAGGATAGTGCCATCTGCCAGAATGGCCAGCACCACATCACACCAAGGCTCCCCCGTGCCCACTGTCTGCAGGGCATTCTCCTTTCGGTCGTCACTGCTCAGCACTTCCGTATCCAGAAACAAGGAGATCTCGTCAATAGCCACAATCATAGACAATGGTAAGTCCTGGTTGTGAATCTGCCGTTGCACAAATTCAATGAAGAGTCCTGCATTGTCTGCCACATCCTTGGGTAGAGTATGGGCCACTGCACGCCGGGCATGGGGAGTCAGGTGGTGCCGCAGCATGAAACGCACAGCCCATTCGTAAGAGATCTTAAACCCCCCCTCCAAAGAACGTCCTATTTTGGTAGCCTTCTGGAACAAGGTCTCCTCATTTACGGGGAGCTGTTGCTCTCGCTGGGTCAGTACCCACTCCGCCAGTTTCTCTTCTGCCTCTAAGCTCAGATATTTGCCCTCCAGATTCTCCTCCTGGGAGGCCTGGAAGCGCCGAAGCCAACGCCGAATGCGTCGCTGGGGGTTTCGGAAGTGTTCAGCTGCCTGTTCTGTATTGCAGCATAGGGCAAACAGTACCACTCGAAGCTTCTTCACAGACAGCTGCTCCTTCTTTCCAACCCCACTGCTACTACCGGCCCCTGATGCTGGCTCAGGTTCCTGGATGACGGGGCTCCCTTCATCCTGGTCATCAACATTCAGACATTCTGCCTCCTCGGTAGGCAAGGGTGGAGGGGCTAAAGGCTGGGAGTGAGCTGGGGTTGGTGGTGGGGTTGCAGTTGAGGCTGGTGATGGCAGTGCCTGAGCCATGGGAGTTGGTAGCTCTTCAGGCTCAGTGGGGGTGGTCCCCACAGATTTCACAGTGGCAGCTTTATTAGAAGGGAAAGAAGGAGGAGGGTACATATTCTTCAAGTTCCGGTCATGTACTCGGTCACGAGTCTGGCCATGCCTAAAAGAATAACAAAAAGAAAAGCGAAAGCTGTGTGAAATTCGAAAAACCAAATAAAGTTAGTAGTGGCTACAACAGAGATCAAACACACAGCCAAGCAGCAATCAAACCATAAAGTGAGTTTCTGTTACCTTGACGGAGATATCCAAGTGAGTCCTAGGGAAAATGAGACAAAAAGAAATGTTAACTCAGTGAAGAAACAAGCCCACCCAAAAACCGTATTGTTATTTCAACCAAAAAAGCAAAACTGCTACCTTCCCAGTCTTACATAAACTTCAGGTTAGAATGCTTCCAATTTGGTTAAGGGCCAAGTAGAGATGCTACTGCCTCACACAGCATGACTCATATCCTTATTTTTCCCTTGGCCTACTACCCCCTTCCCCTCTGCTTACCCCGCGGCAGGATGCTACTGGATCTGTGAGAGGGGTTGAATACCAAATGCTTGGCCATGGCATCTCCCACAGAGGTAACGAAGGTACATGAAGTGCAGACCAGATTGCTTCCACTAAGAAAGCAAGTGAAGAATACATAAGATTAGTACAGCAGGGACACTAGAGTGAAGCTCTGAGGCTTAATAGAGAAAGGGAGTATCCCCACATCTTCCCCGTTTCAAATAAAGTTATATCCCCCAAAATAATAAAAGATTTAACATAAATTTGAAAACTTAAGAGATGAGATTTTTCTTACCTCACAGAATTTTTAAACAAAGCCAAATACTTGGGGCTCTTCCGTGGAACATGATTGCTGCAAAAGACAAAGTGGGTTAGGAACAGCACTCTGCAGGCAGAGGTCACCAGTCACTGGCAATGTCCAACGGGGGACGACTCTGTACTCCTCTCCATTCTAGCCTCACCTCAACCCAAACTAGCCTTCCCATCCTATCAATACTTCCTGTTAGTATGTATATGAGCCACCTGGGGGTCTATTCAAGTGCACATTCTGATTCAGTAGGGCCTGAGGGAGGGCCCAGAGTCTGCAAACCTAGTAAATTTACATCTAGTGCTGCTGGTCCTTGGACCACATTTTGAGTAGCAAAGTCCTAAAACTTAGAACACAGATCATAAGTCAAATAAACATGGGTTTGGCCTCTTACCCTGCAGGAGAGATGGACAAACCTTTCTAGGAGGTGACAGAGGAGACACACTAGAAGTAGGGCAGGGAATAAAGTGACTTCTGGAGAATCTGAACTCTCAGAAAAAACACCAGTTTAACCGTCACCTACTTGATCATGTGGTTGGCATAGGCCCGAGAGCAGCAGGTGCTATAGCGACACAGAGAGCAGTGCACATAAGTGGGGAAGTGATTAGGGAAATCTGGGATCTCAAAGCTGCACTCCAGACAAGTCTGCCGGCCCATGACACTCCTGTCAAGAAACAAGAAAAATTCGCGTTACACCCTCAGATCCCCATAAATTGTAGTGGCTTTAGACAACAGATCCTGCTAAAAGGCTACCAGTTTACACTGGCTATCAGGAATAATCCTTCCCAGTCAGCCCCAGCCTCTAGAAGAAGGCACTGACATTTTTCTAACAGCTCTCTTCTGGATGTTGCGCTGAACAGGGGGATAAAGGAAGACAGGCAGAGGGTCTGTTGAAGAGGTCAGTGGTGCTGCCTCCTGCAAGGTGCTGGGAGGTGCATCATTGGAAGATACAGGAACTGTTCGTGGCTGCCCTCGAGAAGCCCGGATTGTCACCTGTGAGTCAAGGGAAGGGACAATTAGATAATACTCATACTAAACCTTGGAGTCTGAAAATCTCTGTTGTTGTTGTCGTCGCAGAAGAAAATGCAAACAAACCCTTTACCTTGGTGCCTGGTTTCAAGCCTTCCAGCTGCTTGGGTTTACGGAACGTTTTATGGTGTTGAAGTTTGTGTTCGATTTTATCCTTGGCAAACAGAAACTGCAGTCGGCATTTGTTACAGTGATACACATTCCTCTTCTAAAAGAGGGAGAAAAAGAAACAGAGTTAAAGGTTCCCAGAAAATGTTCTCTGAGGCGAAGATAGATCAATACCAAGCATATCATTCTTCCCACCATTCTGCTGGTAATTCAAGAGTAAGAAACACAACATGACACCAAAACCTACCATCGACAATCATCACCTCCTATGCTCCCAAAGGTGGACTCAAAAGCCAGGATGACTCAGTCCTTAAATCATCTCTTCCTGACTGGCCAAAGCCATTTGGACGAGTGGCTTAAACTTTACTTGCCACCACTTTCTCTTTACATTTCAGACAACTTCCCAATGCTAGACATTCTTCCTTCCTAGTTGTTAATTGCAATGAAATATTTATGATTTTAAAAAAAACACTTTTTATCCTGTACTCCTTCACGTTGTTAAGATGCCTTCAACTTTGAGCCCCAGTCCCTTTCCATGGAAATAACTACCAGTTTCTTGGGTATTCTTTCATGAACAGCATACACATATAACCAGAGAACACACACATCTCCAGTCATCACCGTTTCTTTCCTTTTTTCTACACCTTGTGGCTTTTCCATTTAACTTATCAATATATACAGCTATTCCTCCCAGTGAGACCATTTTGAGAATTCAGTCTGCCTAACATTGAAGTCCTTTAAAAACAGAACCATATCTTGATTTTCATCCCCAAAATAGCAAGGCTCTATAACCTCAGCTGAATTATAAACAACAACTTCCATGTTGCTATTTGGAAACACATGTACAGCAGATAATCAGCAGTCACTACTGTGCAAATGAGTACGTGAGCCTAAGAGGGTGCTTACAAGTGAGAGCTGGTGGTGTTTGTAAGCACACGCACATGCACACTAAGGCAGGTGCACCCATCTTGCTGTTTACTTTGTGCTCTCTCTTAAGTACCTTTACTCTCCTAAGTGGCTCCTTTCTTGTAGCATTTTAAAACAAGACCATATTCCATCTTAAAAACAAAGCCAACAACAAATTTTCCCTTGGAATCTAACATCCCTGGTCCTCTTCTTTCTAAACAAACTTCTTTAGGTAAGTTGTCTCTGTTTCCTTAATTTTCATTCATTCATTCATTGCTGAAATTTGACTTCTAACCCCTAATCAACAAGACAGCCCTGTCAAATGTGCTGATTGCAGATCCCCCTCCACCCTTCCCATTTGACTGGGCACCTTCCTTTAACAATCTGGATCACAGCCTTTTCTTCACAACGCTTTCCTTCCTTAGCTTCTCTGACACTAACACTCCTGGTTTTCCTCCTAGGACTATTTTTCCTCCTAGGTCCTGGTTTTGTGGAGAGACACTTTAAAGGTCCTAAACCTTTATCTTGTTCTTAATTGGGGGAGGAGGGGAGAGGCCACACGATACTTAAAAAGTTTCAAATTCACTGGACTTGTATAATGATTCATTCCTCAGCCTCTTTTCCTGCCAGGCTTCAGACATTTATATCCAACTATTTGTTTAGTAGACAACTACATTTAATATCCAGAGACTGCTAACCCAGAATATCCAAGCTTGGGTGATCATCTTTCCCACCCAAAATTTTCTTCCTCTAGTGTTCCTATCTCCATGAACAGTTTACCATTGGTCCAACTGCCCAGAAAGAAATCTTAGGTACTGTGTTCAACTACTCCCTCACTACCTTCACCTAATCCACCTCTAAATACAAACCTTACTTATCTTCCCAGTATCTCTCAATTTTATCCTCTTTTTCTTCATTTCAAAAGTCAATAGTCACTATTGCCTCTCACCTCAACTATTGAAAGTTTGGCTACTCTCCCTAACTCTAGTCTTAATCTTCAATCCATTCTCCTAGTGCAGCCAGTGTAATCAAAACTAAATGCATATTTGAACACACCACTCCACAACTTTAACGCCCTTATATGAGGGCCTCCCTGGTGGCTAGGGGTTAAGTCTCAGCACTACCACTGCAACGGCCCACCGCGGTAGCCTGAGTGCTCTCTCTGGCCAGGGAGCTACCCACATATGGTGTAGCAGACCGCTCCTGTCTTGCCCACTGCTCTGCTTAGCAATGTATTTCAGTAAATCCACCTGCTCTGCTCCCCACTCTGTCTTCTGATGAATCCTCTCACTGCCCCTGAACCTCTAGCCTACACGCCAGTTCTTCTATGCAAAATTAAATAAAATCTTAAAACAAAGGGGGGGAAAAAGCCCTTTCAATGGCTTCCTAATAACTTGTTATAGAACTAAAATGCCTTCTCATGGCTTGTAAGATTCTCTATGATCTGTCCCCCACCTAACTTCCAAACTCCCTTGTAAACCCTACATCCCACCCACACTGTATTTCTTTTACTGCCTTGACTCTACCAATCTGTGCCTTCAAGCACACTGCTGTTTTATCCCACTTTACCAGGTTCATCCTCACTCATCCTTCAGGGCTTGAACACCCTCCTTCTGGGAAGCCATACATCTTCTATTTCCTACATCTTCTATTTCGTCTAACATGACATTTCTTATGTTTTATTGTATGGTCTATCTTGTTTACCACTAAATACCTAGCACCTAGCCAAGGGCATGGCACACAATTAAGATTCACTAAGTTTTTGCAAACACCTATTTATTATATTCTCTACTAAAATTATCTGCCTAGTTCAGTCCAGGCCTCAACATCCATAAATTTTAAAAATGAGAATATGCAAACTGTTTGGTGCCTAGTACCTGGTGCCTCATGTAATGCTGTTGAAATGCATTGCCATTTTTGAAGACCTTCAGGCAATAAGGGCAGAGCAGATGCCGAGTATCCTCATGGATCATCCGAAAATGGACATCTACCTCAGAGTAGAGTGAGGAGCGATACTGACACACCTGAGTCACATAAGAGGGAAAATAAGCTAAGAGTGAAGTAAACAACTGAGGCCTTCAGAAAAGGCAGCAACAAAAAATGTAAAATATGAAAAAAATTTTTTACTAAATGTACAGAAATCAAATTATTTGACTTAGTAATGCAGGGCTATCTTTATGACAAATTCAGCTATGAATTAAGATAAAAATGGGCTAAGACAGGAAAGTCTGAGAATAATCCATATTTTAATCCATCTCCAAGGGGCAAGTTCCAGACACAGATACTCCCCTCAGTACATGCAATGTTCCTTGACTGGGTTCCTTGGGTGGGTGCATGCATATTCATTGTTTTTCTCCTGTGTGGAAAATCCTGAACACAGAAACTGGGTTTACTATTTCCTCTGTATCTCCTCAGTGTTCCTAAAACTATGTGTGTGCAATAGGTATTCATCAGAGTTCATTAGTGAATTCTTTGTATTCATTCTGAGAGCAAAACAGCTAAAGCTCCCTGGAGAAAAAGGCAATACCTGGCAAACATAAGGCATCTCTCCAGGCTTATGAGTATCCTTCATATGCTGGAGAAATAGTGGCTCACTCTCAAACGCCCACTCACAGATCTTGCACTTGGCTGTAAGAAAAAAATAATCAATAAATCCACCTGAAATTAAGACCAAAGTCGTGCTGACTCATACTCTTTATTTTTTCTGACTCCTAACTTTTCATTTTCAATACTCAGTATATCACTAAGCCACTTCTATCCTTTAAGATGTTTTTGTCTTATCATCTGTGCTCTAGTAACAACTAATCTGATGTCTCTAGCTCAGACTTCTTATCAAAACTCCATTCTAGCTTTTGAACTACCTACAAATTGTCAGACTGGATATTCTACCACCAACTTTAATTAATTACTCTTTTTTCCTTTCTCAGTTCCCTACCTTTTTCTGGGCTTAAAGACTAGACACTATCTTTGACTCCAATCCCCTGGTTCTGTCACCATTATTTCAAAATGCATCTAGAAAATATCACTTCCCCATTCTCACAGGCAAAAGCTTGGCAGATATCTGTATAATTTCCTACTGCTCATCAGCTGGCTTCCAATACCTATCTCTCTAATAAATACTGTATCAATTCCTTACATACCATTGTGAGGTGAATTCTAAAAATACATTATTTCATTCCTCTGCTCAAAAAGAGACAATTACTTTCTCCTATGAATAATTCAACAAACATTTATTGAACATCTAGTAAAAACACAAATAAGTATCTGCCTTCTAGAGACTGACAATCATGAACAGCAGTTCTTGCCTTGTTTTAAATTGTTGCGTTACTTTGGTATTAACAGATTTGAGACAAATTTTGAAACTGTCCATTTTGTCAATTTGGGTACGATTCTGAACTTTCAATAAAAATCTTAATTACTAAGTATTTTAACAAAATATGAAGCCAAAATGATAATAGTGATTTGTATTTTTCTTACTATCACTGAAGGTATTTTCAAGTTTTTACAAATATGGACATTGTAAATTTGAAACTTTAAGCATACTGGGAACATTAACTCTTGCTCCCCCAAAAAAGAGAAGAAAGGTTTCTATAATTCTTTAACGTGTGAAACAAATAAAAACCAGGGATTCTTAATTGGGGTCAATGGTAGAGATCTCAGGGAGCCCATGTATCCCTGAAATTATACACAAAAAATTAAAATGTTTATTTTTCTGGGAAAAGGGTCCTCAAGTTTCTTGTTTATTCTCAAAGAGGTCTGTGAGCCATTTAGAACCACTGCCTAGAGTTACATTAGGTACAACCAGGATACAAATAAATTTCTTTTTAAAAATTCTGCAAAGCGGAATAAGGAAAAATTGTAAGATACATGATATGAGCCTTGGAAAAAAAAAGAGTAGGGGTTTGCCAGACAGAGGCGACAAGAGAAAAGGAACTAAGGCATGGAGGCATGAACGTTTGGGAAACAGTAACTAGTGGCATGACAATATTTTTCTCTCTTTTTCCTTCTTACCTCTCAATTCACTTTGCTTATCTCCTTCTTCCCCACCCCACTTTCTAAAACACCTTTAAAAGCATTGGGATTTTCCAATCTTCTGTCCAAGCCTTTCTATTCTATGTTACCCTGGGCAATCTCAGGCAACCCTGAAGACTTCTACTTCCTATATGCCAATTGCACTGTTACAGCTGCCTCACATCAAAGCAGTAACATTCATTAAGCAACTTCTAATGCAAAAAATGCCATGATAAAATCTGTATGTATTATTTATCTCATACCAAGAAAACCAGCGAAACAGGCACATAAGATATCAATGAATTTAAGAGATCTCATAACCTTTCAAACTTCTGTAGGGGAAGGAGCTGGAAGGGAAAAGATTCAAGAGAACTGATTTTCCAAAGTGGCGATCTCAACACCGTCCCTCCCAGCACTATCACTTTCACCTCCTTAACATCTAATAGTCTCTTACTTTGAGAAAACAGGTGTGAACTAACACAGCTTCTGCTTCCTGTTCGCCAAGTCATGAAAGAAAAGATGCCCGTGATGCCTTTCTAAGGTTCATTAAACCTTATCAGTTCATGTATACCAAGGTTTTGTCAAGCAAATAGTTCTCCCTTGAGTCTTTTTCCACACAGGATCCTCCCCTTGACACACAAACAGAGCTATGCCCCCTGAAACATCCTTTTCTCAATCCTACCTTCTCAGTCTATTATCTTCACACAAGTGTAAAGAAAAACATGCTATTAAAATTGTACTGTTACCATAATTAAATATAATTATCCACATAATCATTCATTTAAATACAAACATCTAATGTTTTAGGGAAAACTGAGGAAATCTGAAAGTGGACTAGGTATTAGATGATATTAAATATTCATGATTAATTCTCTTAGGTCTTGACTATATGGCTACATATAAAACAATGTGCTTATTTTTTTAGAGATACATCGTAAAATTACTGATAAAGTGCCATTATGTCATATTTTCAAAAACACTTCAGAAAAAAGGAATACTTTTTCTTTTTTCTCAAAATTAGAAAGAAAACCATGGATTCCAAAATACTGACATTAAAAATAAGCTATCTTTCATTGCAGGATCTGCCACAGGTTCAAAAAAAATCCAAGAATAAAAGTGATAAAAACTAAAGTATATGAAAGGTATTTATTTTCCCGTTCAGGACAACTTCTTTGGTCAGTGTGAATTTTAAATCATAAGATACAAAAAATTAAGTCAGGGATAACAGAGTGTAAGCCAAGAGAGAAAGGCAGATGAGACTGCACTATTTTGTTTTCCACAGGAAAAACTTATCGTTCTATGACTACATATAAGTGGAATAACAAAAACCCACATCTATACACCCAGCTTCTATACAAAATCAGTTAGGTGTTTTCACTGGGGGTGGGAGGGGTGGAGGGGAAGGGTATAGGTTGTATGGGCTTTCCATCACTGAAAGTGAAGAATTTGAGTTCTAACCTAACAAAGTTGGCTACTCTGCCGTTACACTGTGATGTTATGATGACTGATTCCACTACCCATTTTACTCCCAATTAATTAAATTAGTTCAAGTTCCATTGTCCAATATGGTAACCACTAGTTATATGCGGCAGTAATCATTTGAAACCTGCCAGGCCCAAACTGAAATTTGCTTTGAATATAATACACTCACCAAATTTCAAAAAATCTGTGTTGCTTTTTTGGGGGGAAAGAAAAAAGATGATAAATACAGGTGATTAATTTAAAATTTTTGATTACATGCTGAAATGACTGCATTTTGAATATACTGAATTAAATAAAATACACTATTATATTAATTCCAGACTTTTTTTTGGCTTTGCTTAAAATAGCCATTAAAATAATAAAATTTCTCATATAGCTCATATTGTGTGTCTACGGACCAGGACTAGTCTAAGTCACTCACCACATCCCCGTGCTAATGAGACCAATGCCAAGGAGATACAAAATATAGCAATTCTGCTTTGTATGAAAGGTTCAGGAAAGGCAGAGGACGATCTGGTCTCTTTATCTATACATAATGTTGCATCTGCATGTAATGCCTGAGACTAACAAAGCCAGCCAGTCACCCTGTTATGAGGCAAAGAGAACTGTTGAAATGCAGAACATTTAAGTTCTCAGCTTGAAGATCATTTTATCTCACATTCTCTCAGTTTTGAGACATAAATGTCTTTAGTGTTTCATAATTCACTTTCAGTCAAGATTTTCAAACTGTAGCAAAAGCATTCAGATAACAACCATATTTCTGTCCTTAATTATTCACTTATGCTTTCCCATCACTTAAAAGTTTTTCTTACAACTTTCCATCTAAATCCTTTTATATTTAAAGCCCCTCAAAATTTAAGCATTACTTTCTAAGAAATCTGGCCACAAGGATCTTTCCCTTGCTCTGAACTACTGCAACTACCGCTATATCATACAATGCATATATATTTATAGTATGTACACAATCATGTGCTCACATTTTCCTATATTTACATAATTTTGTTCACTTCAACCATTCTAGAAATCTTTTAAAGAACACAGGAAATATTCTAGAAGACTTTTACTCTTAAGGTGTATACTCCTAAGCAAATGATTTAATTTTTCTGAGCTCATGTTGAACTTCTGTTCCCTCATATATGTAAGATGTACAGTGGAGATAAAACTCCAAGTCATATTTCAACGACAGGAGTCTGAATGGTAAAATACCTTATAAGTAGTCCTGAGAGGACAGAAGTATCTAGGTAATTCCATTATGTTGATCTTTTTCTATCGTGGTCCCTAATAATTCAGATTCTAGCACTGAACTCAATTCATGTTTGAACAGTATAGAAGTGAGGTTTGTAAGAAAATAAAGTGAGGTAAGGAATTGACTACAAATATGCAAAGAACTTCATCTACGTTGTTACCCAAGTATTGATAAATATAATGGGCTCCCTTTAATGCTGTTCAATGAATGAAGAGCAAAGTATACCCCTAGAGTTTAAGAGTTTCCAAACTTACTAGTCGATTCATAGGGACTATGAACATTTTCCAAGTGGCACTGGAGCTGGAAGGGAGTGGAAAACTGACGATAACAGTGTTGGCAGATAGTATGACCATCCACCTCACCATTCTGCTGATCGAGCTCTACGTGATGTTTCATATGGTTCATGAATCTGTAAGCACAGCACAAAGGGAAAGTACAGAAAACATAAAAAAAACCCAGTAGCCTTGGATAAAATAACAGCAGAATCACAGAATAGATATTACCTGCTCTAATTTCCTCACTTGGGAAAATGCTTTTCTGAGCCCAGAAAGGGGTTCTTAAAACTAAGGTTCTGTGAAGCACTGGTCTCCCTTACTCTACTCAAAGTTATCTTTTATTACCATAATACCTGTCTATAGTACTAGTTATTGATTTAATGGTAATCCTTAGCAAGACTAGAAAATAGGACCATCTCAAAGAGAAAGACTTAAACATGTAAGAAATTTCAGTCTTCTCTTGTCCAAGGCAACCTGCAAGACTCCTCAACACTTACCGAATATTGTTTTTTAGCCTTTTGGTACAATGTGGGCATCGGAAAGATGTGGCGACCTTTGGGAAGCTTGTGAGTTGGGCTACTTTGCCACCATCCCGTCCATAATAGAAGTCATCTACTAGCATAATGAGCTTGGTCTGGACAGCATCACCCACATTCTCATTTGGCTCTTGCACTTTGGTAGGTGGTGACAGAGCAGGAATAGGTGTAGAAGAGGGTGTGGAAGCAACAGGAGCTGTTTTCTCAGGAGATGGTGGCTTTGCTGTTGATGGGATGCTGGGTTCTGAATCCAGAGACTTTCCTTTCTTCTGGTATTCAACCATTTCTGGGCAACAGTACTATAAAGAAAGAAGACATCTGATTATTCTGGTCATCCTACGGCCCAGGATATAATCCCCAAACTTCACTAACATTCCTTGTTAATGGTTTAGTCCTAAGTATTCTCATGCAACTATCACCCTTCAGTTTCTAGTCTTTCCCGGTGTCATTTTTTTCTCTATGTGCATGACTATTTACAGCCACATGCCACTCCAAACACCATACCTTACACTTCTCCTTTCTGCCCTAGAGACTTTAACCACTTACAATAACTTGTCTCTAAGCGGCCTGGCAGGAAGAAATGCCAATCTTTGCATCTGAGCTAATGCCAAAAACTGAAAAGGCTAGAAATGGGAACTGGTTAACAGCTCCTGATTCATACAATGACACAATAAATAGGAAATGACCTCAGGCCAATCTGGGTTGAGTCTGAACTATCTAACAAACCTGTCCCCTACGCAGTGCCAAAATCTAGCACAACTAATATATAATTTTAATTATTCTGTTTTTTAGATAATAGCCATCATAATGCATATTGTTTCAATATACTTGAGGGTCTTTAAATGTATCCATCATATTCTAAAGTACATAACTATTCTAAAAAAGGTCAAAATAAAGAGCAACCCTTTAAAAAGGCATCTAGGTTATTTTAGAGGGGTCCCTGCTTCACAAGCTCCCAATTCTACAGGAGGTTTACAGTGGTAGTCATTTAAGCTAGCTCCCCATCACAGGTGCTATCACTTACACACATGTGACCTCTCAAAGCTTCAGTAATACGGAATTGGGCGTTACACCGTGGACATACTTTCCGCCCACCATCCTGAAGGTCAAACACTGGCATGGAAGAGGTCACTGAAAGAAGTGAGAAGCATTGATAAGAAGACTGACAAGATGATAGTGGAAAAAGAATACTGGCCTTTTGGAAATAGGTTAAACATTCCCTGAATAGCTTATCAAAGTTGGTAAGCAAGCATGAGAGATCACTATGAGGCACACACACACCTTTGGCCATTCTTCTCACTCTAGGCTAAGGGTCAGCAAATCATAGCTTGTGAACCAAATCCAGCCAGCTGCCAGTTTCTGTTTGGCCCACAGGTTAAGAATGGTGCTTACTTATTTTATTGCAGCTTTGCAAAGTTTTTTTGTCCTTTGTGTTTTGTGTGTGCGTGTGTGTATTAAAAAAAATTTACCTCAACCATTCTTAAGTGTTGTTAAGTACATTTACACTGATATGCAAGCAATGTCCAGAACTCTTTCCCTGCAAAACAAACTCTATACCCATTAAATAACAATTCCCCATTTCTCCTCCCTCCTAACTCCTGGTAGCTAACATCCTATTGTCTGTACAAATTTGACTGCTATAGGTAATAGTAAGTGGAATAATACAGATGTGTCCTTTTGTAATTGGATTCATTGCCCTTAAGATTCATAAATGTTGTAGTGCTGTAGCATGGGTCAGAATTTCCCTCCTTCTTAAAAGGCTTAACAATAAACTATTATATGCATGTAACACAATTTGTTTACCCATTTACTATTTGATGGGCTTCTAGAATGCTTCTACCTTCTGGCCATTGTGAATAATAATGCTATAAATATAGGTGTACAAATATCTGTTCAGGTCCCTACTTTCAATACTCTGGGTCATATACAATCTTTTGTTTCATTTTTTGGGATCATCATACCATTTTACATTCCCATCAGCAATCCACAAAGGTTCCTATTTTTCCACATCCTCACTAACACTTGTTATTATTTTCTGTTTTCTTATATAATACCTAATGGATGTGAAGTGTTATCTTACTATGATTTTATTTGCATTTCCCTGATAATTAGTGATGTTTGCACCTTTTCTCATGTGCTTAACAGCCATTTGCATATATTCTTTGGAGAAATGTTTATTTAATTCCTTTGCCATTTTTAGGGTTCTTTTTTTTTTCATTGCTGTTGAACGATAAAGAATTGACATTCTTTATATACTCTGGATATTAACCCTTTACTAGATATGATTTGCAAACATTATCTACCATTTGGTATCACTCTCTATACAGTGTCCCTTGTTGCACTCAATTTTTTTTTCATTGCTACTGAACTATAAAGAATAGACATTCTTTATATACTCTGGATATTAACCTTTTACTAGATATGATTTGCAAACATTATCTACCATTTGGTATCAGTCTTTATACAGTATCTCGTCGCACTCAAATTTTAAATTTCCATGTACTCCCATTTATCTATTTTTCTTTTGCTGCCCATGCTTCTGGTGTCACATGCAAAATGTCACTGCAAAATCCAATGGCATGAAACTTTCCCCTCATGCTTTCATCTAAGAATTTTATAGTTTTAACTCTAATGTTTAGGTCTTTGAATTCACTGAGTTAATTTTCATAAATAGTGTTTGATAAGGGTTCAACTTCATTTTCTTGTGGATAGTCAATTTTCTGAACACTATCAAAATTTATATATTGTTAAATGGTTGCAATAAAAATAAAAGAACAGAAAGATTTTTCTGACATATGAAAACTATATGATATTCAAACCTCAAAGTCCCTAATAGTTTTAGTGGCACACAGTCACAATCATTCACTCACATACTACCTGTAGCTGCTTATACCACAATGGCAGAGTGGGGAAGTTCTAACATATTGTGCAAAATGCCTAAAATATTTACCATCTGGCTCATTACAGAAAGTTTGCTGACCCCTGCTCTAGAATGTTTATAATCCTTACATGCTTATATTCTTCTACACATGAAAAACTCTTTACCACATCCTAACTTTAAAATTTATTCAGAAATCCTGCTCCTCCATGAAACCATTTTTAGATTATCCCACCCATCTCTAATCAATCCATTTCATAATCTCCAAAGCACAATTACACACTGAATTCCATGAAGTTGATTCAGTAACACTTCACAAGTAGCTATCCCATCTACTAAAGTTTCTTAAAAAACAGATTATAGTAACTATATTCTATTTCACAGCATAAGAGTTCTAATACAACAAATACTCGGGATTTTAAATGATTGGCTCCTCATGTAAAGTTTTTGTACCTTTCATTGAAGACTCAGGTCCGCTGGATCTTTGAGAGCCATGGGCAGAGTTGTTGTTGGATACCACCATTGGCCCAGGACTCTGGCCCAGGGAAGGGATGGTGTTAAGGGTATTCACCAGTTTGGCCACTTCATTGCTATTTTCACCTGTAACCCCAGGTCGCTTCACAGTGACAAAGCTGGCAATGCTCACTGCAGGTGGAGAGGGGAAGGAGGGAGCTATGTTTGCCAAGTGATAATCATCTGCTCTCCACCCATCACCCCCCAGTTCTGCCATCAACTCTTCCCAAGCCTCACCTAACTTGGGATTTGGGGTCTGGTTGGATTGGCCTGGAGGTGGAACAGCTAGTTGCCCCAATGAGGTCGGCTGTGTGGCGGTGGGAGTGGTGGAAGTGCTGGGAGTGGACTTGGTCTGCTGGGACTGGGACTGTGGGACGGTGCTTCGAATGGTCAGAGTGGCTGGGATGACGGTGGTGAAGGTGTTGGTGGTGGGTCGCACAGGCATTGTGGAGCCTGGCCTCACTGGGGTCATCTGAGAGAACACTTGCGGAACTCCAACTGTTGGTTTAACAAACTGGGTACCTGGGGCTTCAAAAGAGACAAAGAAAAGTACCAAATCTTGGTCAATGAGTTCACCTACAATACATTCCTCTTGTCTATATTGCAAATTCTGTAATATGAAAAGATTATTTCCCCAAACTGATTGGTGATCATCAAAGGTTACCAAGAGTAGCACAGATTGTAATATCTAAGAAAGCAATAGGTGTCCAAGCTAATAAAAAAAATTAACCTAGGTTACCAACCCTAAAAAACATTAAATTGAAGAAAGAAGACTCCCATCAACTCCTCCCGAAACACCTTATCACACTGCCTTTTCTAGCCCAAGAATATAATCACAGTAGCCTGACCTCAGTATTAGAAGAGAAAGGACGGGTCTAGAATGGGAGGCAGTATGTCTGTAGATAAGTCAGTGAGCAGACCTGGTCCTGAAAAAACTGATCTTTCCCTTCCACTATTAATGGAGTCTGCCATTTTACATAGACTCAAATAGAAGACTGACTGTCATTCTACTCGGATATCCCAAAGAAGAAAATCTCCTGGCTCAGCTATAGACAATTCCACTGACAAATTTGAAGAAATATCAGAATTAGATACAATAAGCTCATCAGACTGGAGGCCAAAAAATACTCTGTGGGCTCTGAGAACAACAACAAAAACTTAGGAAGACAAGTTATAAGAAAAACCCTTATAACTAAATTAAGATGCTCCTTTTTTGGCCTGAATTATAGCAAACTTACAGACAATAAATAAAGAACTGGGGGAAATTAGATTTTTTAAATTATTTTTCAATTCAGTATCTTAAAAAAGAAATTTAATTAGTCATTGGTAGTATTTATCTTCAAAGGGTTTGTCATTTGTTTCATTTATATCCAAAATCTATGCTATAAAATGAAAGCAAAATAAAGCAAAAAGTAATCCCACCATGTAAGTGAGTAGGCTTAAAAGGAATATGGAATTTGGAAATCTGCATTAATTATAGCCCTCCAGGACAACAAATTTAATAGCTAACTAAAACACCAGAAATAGAAAAATGACTACATAAACCTTGTTTTACTACCTCATGAAGGGTGGTAAAAGTTAATAATAAATAAAACTACCACCCTGGCCAAAGGTTAGAAAGTTTGTTTTGTTTTTTAATTGGGTTTAAATCAACATGATTTATAGGTTTTTTTTAAATGACCTAAACTTTTAAAGTGACCTAGAGTATTTTGAGACAATAAAAACAAATCTTCTGGATTCCAGTTTATTCCAAATGGATAGACATTTTTCCTTACCTGGAACTAGTGTAATTGGTCTAACCGTTTGGCCTTGCTGTACGTTCAGCACAATCCCAACCTGATTCATTGCATTTTGTACAGGCCGGACATTTCTTACAGGAAATCCCTGCATTAAAAAGCAAAATGATCTTTAACATGGAGATCAGCTAACACTAGCAGAGACTGCAGTGAGACAGACCTATGTCCAAAAAAGTTCCCACATTCTTACCTAGTACTTGTCTCTAGAATTACAGCTTTTAAATGACTGAGATGGAAATTTTAGAAATTGTGGCAAACTTTTGAGTGACAAAATATCAAAACTGGAAAATAAGCTCTGGTACAGGTGAGCAAAAATGAAAACCTACTTCTTGTCTTAAAAGACCCTGTCTTTTAAGTTTAAAAACCCTGTCCACAGGATGGCTCCTCAATTGCTAAAGGCATAGAAGGAAAAAAATGACACTAACAGTATTCACTAGAGTGATTCGACACACAAACAATTTTAAGAAATTGTTCCCAAAGTCCACTTCAAAGGCCATAAACCTCTGACAAATTTGTAGGAGAGGAGTCTGTAACTCAGGAAGCCACAGGCAAAGAAAAGCATCTGCCTTTCTATTTCACATTAGGCTTTCAACATCAATTCACATTATATATCAAATTAATACCTTCTTTCTCTTCTAAAGAACTCTCCACACTTTACCAACTTCACACAATGATTTCAGATGTCAACTAACTCACCCCATTTTAAGAAAAATCACCCTAAGCAAAGGGCAAGAAGCCTTAGAGCCAAGTGTTAACTAATTAAGGCTTCTTAATCCAAGTTTACCCAATAATTTCTGTCCAGACCTCAATCAAGTCACTTAATAGCCCTCTATTTGGAGTATGAAGGGAAATTAGGCAGCAGTATGCTGGGTTAGGCTTTCTACAACAAACATCATATCAAATTACAAAGCAGTAAATGAGAAAGTCAGGTTCTGTCTTTTGACAGGACTCAGAATCATTTCTAATGATGCTAAAGACTACATCAGAACCTCCAGAGGTTGACACAGACGTTCTCTCCTTCTTTCCCAAGTGCCAGAACTCAAAGTCCTACTCACCTGTGTAGTGATGAATATTGGTTGTGAGGCCACTGGGGAACTAGTCACATGATTGGCATTCTGCATGACCTGGACAGGCCTCAATACTGGCTGAGTAACCATTGTGCCCAGACCTGGGGTTGGATTCTGGGTTAAGATGAGCGGCTGTCCACCTTGTTGGACCAAAGAATTGCCAGCTATAGGATTAAAGGGAAGGGGGGAAAAAAGGAATGTAAGAGAAAACAAACCCACATTTCATAAGAAACATTGTTTTAGATAAAAATGGTATTCCATATATCAAAATATACAAGATGCACTCACCTCAGGTTTAATGTCACCAAACTCACCCAAAATTTAAGCTTCACCCAAATCTACAACTAACAGAAAAACAAGTAGGTAGGGGAGGTTCACTAACATCTCCCCCAAACATTTTTACTAGGGATGTCTTAACACGCTAGAACTTTTAAATGGCTATCCTTTGACTCTGATGGTTTAAGTGACCACATATAACCATAACAACAAATCAAAAAAACGTAAAATTTTTACCCATATTTCAGCTATTTTGCCAGAACACAATTTGTTAGGTAATCCCCCTTAATCTTTTTTAAAAAGGAATACTCATCAACAAACATTAATTCAACAAGTACACAAAATCTAAAGAAAAACATCTCATGCTAGTGAGTAAAATCACAGAAATACAACATTTACAGACAATATAACCACTGTCTTTTATAAGTATGGGAATAGAGATTGACAGGCTATCTTCTTAATCTTTATGTCTTCAAGAATTGATAAAGGAAGGACCTGGTCAAAAACTAAGCAACACCGGGCCTCCCCTGGTGGCGCAAGTGGTTGAGCGCAGTGCTTTGAAGCTGTCCGCAGCCTCTTCAGCACCCATTCGATCCGGGCCAGGCAGCAAGAACCCCACATGGCGCAGTAGACCTCTCCTGTCTGGCCTGCTGCTCCCCCCTCAGCAGTGTATTTCAGTCAGTCTGCTTGTTCTGTTCCCAGCTCTGTCTCTGTTGAACACTCTTACCCTCCCCCACATCTGGCCTGTACCCTGGTTCTTGTATGCATGAATAAATAAATCTTTAAAAAAAAAAAAAAACTAACCAACACCAAGGAAAATGGTACAACTTAAAAATACAATGACTTAATTATGAATATTAGTATCAATCAACGTAGCTAATTATTGCAATATTAAATATTATTTTTAATGTGTGAGGAAAACAACCTTGCAATTTTTTTTAGTTCCCTATTTATGTAGTTGGCCCAGGGGTGGGGGGGGGGGGAACAGAAAAATCATTAATACTAAGTTCCCTGATTTACAAAGAATAATCCAAAACCAGACAGAAAATTTCAGAGCCAATATACCTAAACAAAAAGATTCAAGGAAATTACTGCCTCAATTTTTTAACTCAAATCATCAGAATAGGATGAACTCTTATGAACTGCATGTTCCATTTGACAGAGTTACTGTAATTAGCCACAAAACTAGACTGCCAGAATGGGTTGGCTGTTAAGAGGCAAACTGTAGTTTACCCCATATTCTCCCAGAAATCAAGAGTCTACCTGTGGATTAGACCCTCAGAGTCACAAAGTCAGCAGACTAGTAAGATTACAGAGGTTGACAGATGATTGATCCATCCATCTATCTGCATCTAAACCACTATAATGAATCCCCAATGTACCCATAATCTAGCTGTAACTTCTAAACTTTTTTTACTTTTTTTTTTAACTTTTAAACGTACAGCCAACCTTGTTTCACCCATTATCTTCCACTCAATTATCAGTTCCCACGTTATTCTGATACAAGTACCAGATCTTATCAATATCATTTCATCTATATGTGTATCTCCATATATATATTGAAAAGATAAGAACTTTTAAAAGAGAATATCAACAGCATTATCACTCCTAAAAATTAGGGTAATTCTATGACTACATCTGATAATTCAAATTTCCTAATAAAGTAGAACTTAAATGTTCTCACTCAGTCCCCTACGAAAGTTAAGATTATGTGAGGTGATGGATGTTAATTAACTAGGTGGTGGGAATCCTTTCACAACACATATGTATAGCAATCCACCACAATGTACACTCAAAAATTTTATAATTTCATTGTCAATTATACTTCAATAAAGTTAAATATAAATAATTCTCTAGACTATTAAATACCCAACCAGAAACCAAGTTGACAATTATCTGTATCTTTTAAAATTTTTGAATCCAGTTACAAAAGAGTTGACAAAGTACAAGTGATGGATATATCTCAGATCTCTTTTAATCTATAAGCTTCCCATCCATCTCTTTTTACCCCTTTGCAATTTATGGTTGGAAAATATTAAGTGAAAATATATATATATATATATATATATATATATATATATATATGGATGTATATATCTCTCTGTGTGTGTGTGTGTGTGTGAGTTATCTCCTGTTCATTATTTTAACTCTAAGGTAAAAGAAAATAAATTATGGTATTAATCTAAGCCTAACATTTCCAAAGGTAATCGCTGATTCAACATCCCAAAATAAATATAGGAAGGGAAGGGTGGAAATTTTTATGCATGTGTGTGGAATCAACCAGCATTGGCTAGTCTGGAAAGAAAGGCCAGTCCCCATGAAATCTGTACATTTTCTATTATAAAGAATGTAAACACAAGCATTTCCTGCAAAAATTCTGACAACAGGGTCATATTTGAATTTTGGTGGATTGCTTAGGACTTTTCCAAAAACATGGTGCAAATAAAAAGATGGGTTTCAGGCATCCCTGGTGGCACAAGGGGTTAAGCACCACACTATAAAACAATCTGCAACCTCTGTAGCACGAGTTCGATCCCTGTCCAGCCAGGGAGAAACCCACATGGCGAGGCAGACCTCTCCTGTCTCGCCCGCTGCTTCCCTCAGCAGTGTATTTCAGTTAGTCTGCCTGTTCTGTTCCCCACTCTGTCTCTGGTGAATCCTCTCACCCCCCGCATCTCTGGCCTGTACCCCAGGCTCTTGTATGCATAAATAAATAAATCTTAAAAAAAAAAAAAAAAGATGGGTTTCTATATCTAGATTATGTTTACAATTCAAATGAAAGCAGATGCCAGCACATAGGTCACAATGGGTTAACTACCGTATACTGTTTACTATTTTTAACTCTCCATAATGAATGATTTGAATGATGTCCTGGAATAATTCCAACAAAGTCTAACAATTCTAATGAATGTTTGATTTTTAATGATATTTTTCATTCATAGGTCTTTCTACAAAGAAATTCTGACAATTCAAAGATCTTACAAAGTTCCACTTCCAGAGGATGAAAGAGGCAATTGGAATCCAAAGGCTTTAAAAGGCTTTAAAAGAACTAGTCAACCAATTCCCTGCCTTTGTTTACTCTCAGTTTATGCCACAGCCATAAAGCGATCAAATAAAGGAGGATTCAACAGCTTCTATCACAACATATTGTTTCACAAATCTAGGTTGTGATTTTTTTCCTTCATTTTTTTACATTTACTTAAATAGTATTAAAACCCAGAGATAAGAGGAATAAATGAACTTGAAATGGGCTAAACAGGAGTTGAAAACCAGTAAGTTATACATTAAGAAATTTTTAACATTAAATTCACTATATCCGCAGCTCAGAATTAAGCACTGCTTTATTTTACTTCACAACATGTCTTTCCAATGCAAACATATGATCAGTCAAAACCATAGGAATAATTTTCAAATGATGAGTGGTAGATTCTAAGCAACAGCAAAAAGAACAGTAAACATATTCCAAAACATTCCTCCAGAAACTTTCTTAAAAAGAAAAAAATTATTAAAATATGATCCACATACTACACCTATCATCCATTCAAAGTGTACAACTCAGAATTTTTGGTATATTTACAATATCTGTACAACCATCACCACTATTTTTATCACCCCCATAAAAAAAAGCCTTGTTAACCTGCTAACATTTATTCCCCAATCTCTTTCCCAGAGCTGGCAACCACAAATCTATTTTCTGTATCTACAGATCTGCTGATGCTGGACATTTCATATCACGGGAGTCATATAACATGTGGCCTTTGTGTCTAATTTACTTCACTTAGCATTAAGTTTTCAAAGTTCATTCCATTTGTATCAGTTATTTCATTCCTTTTTATGGCCTGATCATATTCCATTGTATTGGATACAAAAAAATGTTTATCCATTCAACAACTTAGTGTTTGGGGTTTTTTTTTCCCCCATTTTTTGGCTACAGTGAAAAATACTGCTGTGAACATTTGTGCACAAGATTTTGAATGAACACATATGTTTTCAATTTTCATGGGTATATAGCTAGGAGTAGAATTGTGGGTTATATAGTTCTGTTTAATTTTTGGAGACTCTGCCAAATTAGTTTCCAAAGTGAAAACATCATTTCATATTCTCACTAGCAATATATAAGAGTTCCAGTTTCTCCACATTCTTTATCAACACTTTTGTTATTTTTTATAACCATCCTAGTGTGTGTGTATTATTGGAGTACAGTAGTTCTTTATATACATGTCCCTTATAAGATACAGATCTCAATTTATGATGAGATTACATACCGATAAACCCATCAAAAACTGAAAATACCATAAGTCAAAATTGTATTTAAGACACCTACCTTATCCTGATCTATCTAAAACATGCTTAAGGGTCTCCCTGGTGGCACAAGGGGTTAAGCACAGCACTATGAAGCAATCCACAACCTCTGCAGCACAAGTTCAATTTCCGGCCAGCCAGGGAGCAACCCACATGGTGCAGCAGACCTCTCCTAATTTACCCACTGCTCCCCTCAGCAGTGTATTTCATTCAATCCACCTGTTCTGCTCCCCAGTCTGTCTCTGGTGATTCCTCTCACTCCCCGCACCTCTGGCCTGTCTCCCAGCTCTTGTATGCATAAATAAAATCTTTTTTTTAAAAAATGCTTAAAATGCTTACATTAGCCTACAGTTTGTCAAAATCACCTAATACAAAGTTTATTTTATAATAATTTGACTATCTCATGTTACTTATTGAATACTATACACTGTACAGTATCAGATATTTACTTTGGAATCATCTGGCTAGCTCAAGGGAAAGATCAAAATTCAAAATTTGAAGTACAGTTACTACTGAACACATATCACTTTTGTACTATCAGAAAGTTGAAAAATCTTAAGTGGCACCACTGTAGGCTCAGAAGTGTATGTACGTATTTGCAAACTTTTTCCCCCATTCAATGGGTTCTGTTTTCTCTTCCCTAATTGTGCCCTTTGAAGTATAAAAGGTTTTCATTTTTGCAAGTCCAATTTATCCATTTTTTCTATGGTTATTTATGCTTCTGGTGTCCTATCTCAGAAATCACTGCCTAAATTAAGGTCATAAGGATTTACAACTCATCCAAAAGGGTATGAGTTCCCCACAGTACTGTAAACCAATACTACCCGCAACAGAAAAAGAAATAAAGACTTACACCTATATTTGCATCTAAGAATTTCACAGTTTTGGCTTTTACAGTTATGTTTTTTTACTGTTAAGGTAAGAAGTAGGGGCACCGTCTCATGCCTTTTCATGTGGAAAAGTATCTAGCTGTGTCTCTGACACACACACACTTTTTTTTTTTTTTTGGTGGGACCCTCGCCGGTGGCCCGTGAACGAACCGGCACTGCAGAGGCTAAGGGAAACCTCACAGCCCAGCGCTCAACCGCTGCACCACCAGGGGAGGCCCACTTTTATTTTTTTTTTATCCAGCTATCACTCTTCATGGAACAACAGGAATTTTACGGTATAGGGCAAAACTATATCTACTCCTCTTTCCCCAATACATTCATTCTTTTAAGATACCTTTATCTAGATTATATTTTAAAATTTGATCCACATAAAACATTACATAAATTTAAGTGATAAAGTATAGTCATAAAACAAACACTCAAATCCAACACCTAGTTTAGATCTGGGCCAGTATAATTCTATACATGTGCCCCTACTCATTCCCGTCTCTTGCTTCCCTCCCACACGTATGAAAATGTTTCTTAAAATCAAGACTTTCTATGCAGAGAGGAGCAAAGAAATTAACAGGGTAGGGCCTCCCTGGTGGCGCAGGGGTTAAACACCACACTATGAAGCAATCCGCAGCCTCTGCAGCACAAGTTCAATCCCCAGCTGGCCAGGGAGCAACCCACATGGCACCGCAGACCTCTCCTGCCTTGCCCGCTGCTCTCCTCAGCAGTGTATTTCAGTCAGTCTGCCTGTTCTGTTCCCCTTTCTGTCTCCAGTGAATCCTCTCACCCCCAGCCCCAGCATCTCTGGCCTGTACCCCAGCTCTTGTATGCATAAATAAATCTTTTTAAAAAAATTTTTTAAAAATAAATGAAATAAAACAGGTAAATTATAAATGCCTAATCAATGTCCCAAATGGACAACCTTCTAAAATATAATTACTGGAAGAGATAGCTACTAGTAACCAGGAGCAAGGCTGTTTTTAGAAATGGTTTAAAAGAAGGTGAGGAATAAGGGGAAAGGTAACTTTTTAGCTTTCTAAAATACCTAGTACACTAAATGAAACAAAACTGAAATGCTTAAAAGTTATTCTTCCTTGCTATGTTATCCATGTAATAAGTAGACTACATATCCATACAATTAAACTGAAGGCTTATAGAGGGCTGTGTTATAAAACATTCTATTCATTCTATTCTGAAGTCTCATCCTATAGGTAAGCTAGCATTTCAAGAATATAAAGTTATACTCAAGATTAAAACACTGCAGAACTGTATGTAATTATACCAAAAAAAAAAAAAAAAAAAGCCAGACAAATTGGACCTATTAATGCATGCATGGAAATTCTTTGGAAGAACATCAAGACATACATAATTGTGGTTACCAGTCTATAACCATTTTTTCCACATGAAAAGGGGTTAACATTTTAATTTGAGTATTAGAGGCTTTTGAAAGAAATAAGATCAATGTGTATATTACAAAGCTTGTACACATGCCTTAAGAAGGCTCTGGAGTCAAGGGTTCAGCACTCAAGGAGACTAGGTCATGTCAACAGGTCATGAGATGCTCATCGAGGGTCTTGGAACCCCAAAAACAAAGAAAAATTTAGCTTTGCACATAAGAAAACAATAAAATATAACAGAAAGGCCACAGTTTTGAAGTCCAGAACACTCAAACCTATTTTAGTCACTTACCAAACATTTAACCTTAAGATTATTTATACTAAGGCCTAAGAACTTACCACACCTGTAAAATTAGAGAATTCTCTAACGTTTCCTCATCTTCATATATATAATGTTCCCCATAAGTTTTTAAAAATTAGAAGGATTTTCCATGTGTTATGTTCTTAGTACTCAAAAAGTGAAAAATTACATATGGAAATTATAAAGATTGAAGTTTGATAATACTTAAAAGTTGGCAACAATATGTGGAAAGAGCTACTGGAAGGCACTTATTTAGAACAATCTATGAGGGCAATTTGACACTATTAAATTTTAAGCCCCTGACTCAGCTATCTCACTTTATAATGCAGGTAAGCTCATACAGAGAGCATGAATATAATGCCTAAGAATGTTCACCACAGTACTGTTTATAACCACAAAAAAAAATCAAGATTATAATAAACATGTAACAGCAGGGTAATAAAAGCTTATAACCCAAAATAAGAACACCACATGCGCTTTTAATGGCAACATAAACTGATATAACATTCAGTCATAAAGTGCTACAGGTATTTATTAAAATGAGAAAATATTCGCTACATAAAGGATAAAAAGCAGAGAGTAAAGTGGTATTTTTATGATCCCTTTTTGTAAAAAGTCAGTCACTACATATAGCATAAAGAAATATATAGAAGTACATATACGTGCAGAGTGAAAGTTACAAATAGTTATCATCAGATAGTGGGATTACAGTTAATTTTTTTTTCTTCCTTTTATTTTTTACTATTTTTTTCTACGATGTACATATTATTCTTGTATTAAAGCTATTTTTAAAGGAAATGCATTAAAACTAGTCCTTTTTTTCTCCTTTACTTTTTACTGCTATTTTTCCTACAATGCACATATTATTCTTGTATTAATAAAGAATTATTATTCTTTCGTTCAAACCAATTATTTTAAAGAAAATAAAATAATTAAAAATGGTCCTTTGAAGCAATGCAATGATTCTATGAAGGTGCTACTTCTAGTTATAAATCTTGAGACATAACTTGCCAATAACTCATCTTCAGGGGACAGAAACAGTATTCAGAAATGACATAGAAACCATTATTATATAGCCTCTCTAGCCAATAAATACACTGAAACCACTATTCTTTCACCTTTTCCTTCAGGTAGACAACAGCTCTATATCCAAGCGTCCATACCCAGGAACTAATAACCAAATAAGAACTGCCAGAGAAAATTCAGAACAAAGCTGCCTTAGGAGTATTCTTACCAAACTAGAAGGGCCCTTCCAATTGAAAAACAAAAACAAAAGACCCAGATCTTTTTAATAGTTAGGAATTTGGGGCTTACATTTGCTCTCCTGGAAATCAGCAGCAGCAAAAATCGGTTGCCCTGACTTTAAACACCAACATAAATTCAGCACTACCTCAGACAGAACATCACCACCTACTAAATCATTTCCATGTCAGATAATCATTACTAAAGTCACTCATCAACTAGCAGAACCACTCCAGTACCTAAAACGAAACATGTACATCTGTTCCTAAGACCCTTGTTATTCTCTTATCCCTCTAGCCCAGGAAAAATTTCCCAATAATCCCACTTACCATTGTTGTTGGCAATTAGTGTGACAAGAGTCTTCTTTGTACTGTCGCTGTTCTGTGCCCCGCTGCTACTAACGGTGGTGGATGTAGAGAGGTGCCCAGCCACAGAAGCATGGGCAGCGATGGGCACTGGAGCCGAGACTGGCTGCTGGCTCACAGAAACTGTGGGGAAGGGGAGGCACAGTCACTTGGAGACAGGGACAGATGACACTAAAGGATACTGTTCTAATCTTCCCTTTTCATCTTCTTGTCAGTCTGTACAGCCAAAACGTGTCCTACTTCATTAGTAAATCCAACTGTTCATCTGATTTCTCCTCCTACTTGCCCCTTACTCCACCAGTTAGACACAATGCCTTCTTTGTCTCATATTTTCTGGTTAATTAAGTTAGATCATGAGCTCACTCCACCAGGATTTTAATGTTTTGCTTATATAGCACAAGGAAACCTCTAGGACTCAAAAGTTTATTATCACCACTACTGATATTCATTACCATGCATAGTAAGCCATCCACAAGACCCTGAACTGTGTCCTGTTTCAGCCCAAATCAATGCCATCTTCAGGTCTCAAAGCAGTGAAGATTTTAATGAAAAAGAGAGAGAAAACAACAGGTACGAAACACACTTTCTGAATTCAGGGCAATTGAGAATTTGACCCTGCAACATCACCTTTTTGAAAAAGAAGCTACAAACTGTCCATGAAGGCAAACACAAAGCAAATTCCGCTCAGCTCACAAAAGAAACCAAGTTCAAATAAAACAAACAAAACAAGACTATGAGAACCTGTTTTTGACTGGCTCTAAATGAGCACTGACACATAGCACCACTTTGCACTCTGGTTCATACACCATTTGGTAGGAGATCTGATGGCTATATGATAAACATTGGTTAATCCAACAACTCTCCATGTTTTTAATCAGTGAAAAGTAGTGTTTCTAGCTTTCTGGAAGAAAAAATCGAGGCATTTACTAAAGCATGGTTGGGAAAGGTAGCACCAGTGCCATAAGGAAGCAATGCTGGATTCTTAGAAGTCCTTCTTCACCACACTTTAACAAAAAAGCCACTCAAACTGTATCAATTTAAACAAGCTAAGATCAAAAGAGTTTGTTACCTGTATTAGTTTTATCCACTGAATTATAATCTTCAACTACAGAATCCTCAATGACATCACTGATTTTCTGCCATGGTTCCAGCTCCTCCTCCTCACATTCCATAAACAGGTCGGTGTCCGCCATGCTACAAGGAAAAAAAAGAGATTAAGTAAGATACTGACCTCAGAATGCGAGGAACAGTTTAATGCAAAATACGGAATCATATTCTTGAATTCACTGCTAACCTACCCCAAGGTAACTAACCACAGGGGCTCCCTTTACCATTTCCCCTAACCTCTTTCCCCCTCCCCCTCCTGCTACCCCATATCTAAGGGTCCAGAATTAAAACTTTTATTCTTGAAGAAAAAAAAACTTAGTCTAGAAGGCCATCAGTGTTAAGAATAATTAATATGGCTTCCAGTGTTTTCATGAAACCTCCAATGTGCAGCCTTCTGGCCAAGTGTCTATAATTTCATATTGTTAGAACATTCACTATATCCTTGAGGGTTGCAGATTTCTACAGAAATTATGGTCCCATAAAAGATTCTGAGGAGATGAGGAAAGTCTGTATTTTTCAGAGTGCAAAATGATTTTCGAATGTCAAGAATTTCTTTGGGTTGACGTCCGTATTTGTCACTGCCTGTGTTGCTGAACTATGAAACATGAATATTTAGGCTAAAGAATGGTTTTTCTTGATAAACAACAAATTAAAAAAATCATTGGAGCAAACTGCAGCAGTCTTTAATTAGAAATGTAACAGTTTATAATACCCAGGGCTGAAGTTAGGATAAGAGTCATGCAAACGGAGGGTCAGGTTTTGTTCTTATTTTGTTCATTATGAAAAAATTTTTTACTAATACTAATTTTTAAATGATACATTAAACTATTATTTACTGATTACTTGAGCCGTTTTTATAATACCTTAAATTTTGCACCCAAGATGAAAATCTGACTTCTCACACTCTAGTCTTAGTCCTATTACTACTTTGTACAGTATCATTAATTTTGGAATCAGCTTTTTATTTGAAAACTGCCTAAGTTATTTGTTGTTTTAAAAATGCCTATACCTTTGCAATGCAAACAAAGAGCTATTGCTATTCTGCCCTCCAATATTAGTTGACTATATGTCAATTTCTTTATCTTGGAATGAGATAGCATTACTGCTCAGTGTTCAAGCAAAGCTTTAAATGCAAAGGTTCTCAGTGAACTCAGTATCCCAGTAATTGCCCCCCCTGCCCCCCCCCCCCACAAAGCCTCCTAGCCAAAACAAAGCAAACAACCAACCTACCTTTCTAAGCCCTTACAATTTGATAGTATTACTTTGTGAGATGCCCAACAGATGGCGATGTTCCCTTGGAAATTTAAAATATCCCAGCAATGCCCCAGTGAGTTAGCAACAAGCAAATGACCACAGTTTTAAAGGGTAAAGTGTTTATCTTGAGTTTTGATGGTCTATAATATTCTATTCAATTATTTATCATCACAAACCAAAACCACAGAGGCAAAAAGGAATGAGCAATGAGAAAGATTTAAGGTAGCAACTTAATTTTTTTTAGTTTCGTAATTAATTTAAATACAGAAAGATAAAGTTATCCAGAAATTGAACTAAGGTAAAACCAAATCCTGGGTTGGCATCCTTTGAGTCAATACACAACACATACTTCTGTATTTTCCAGTCCAGTCCCACTGGTGGAAAAAACATTCTGAACAACTTTTTCTAGCTACTTAATATTATACCATTGTTCTTTGCTGTATGACTTTCTAAGAGCCCACAGCCAAAAGATAATCAATGCATAAACATCAAACACCCAGCAAAATGACTATAAACTACAGCTGATAACCTCCACACAGATGGTTTTCAAGGACCTTCTTTCAGCTCTGACCAGCTGCAAGCAAACTATATGCTGAGCAATCTGTGGAAAACTTTCTTTTGGAAAAAGTAGTTAGCTGAACGCAAATTCTGCTTTTCAATGTCCTGCCTGTGGATATTGTAATAACATCCCAAAGGCTGATCTTTTATCACAGGATTTTATAATATCTTAAGAGACTGAGTTCATGGTTTTTGTTTTTTTGTAACAATGAATTTTACCAAGACTATCAAAGTTTCCTCCATCTGACCAAAGTCAATGTTATTCCGCCCTGAAAAAGATATTCTATGAAACAGTGGAAAAGGTAAATCTGAAAAGATGCCAAAGAAGGATGTTTGTGTTGTAACATTTTATTGCATGAGGAAATTCCTTGGGCACAGTCTCTGCCAAGACATTCAATGTAAATGAACAGATTCAAAATGGAAATAAAATTCAACTTAAAAAATAGTTTTCAAAAAATTTTTTTAAGATTTTTTTTTTATTTATTTATGCATGCAAGAACTGGGGTAAAGGCCAGAGGGGGAGGGGGAGGTGTGAGAGGATTCACCAGAGACAGAGTGGGGAACAGAACAGGCAGATCTAGTGAAATACACTGCTGAAGGGAGCAGAGGGCAAGACAGGAGAGGTCTGCTGCTTGGTGTGGGTGAGCTCCCTAGTCAGGGATTGAATTCATGCTGCAGTGACTGGTGATTGCTTGATAGTGCTGAGACTTTAACCCTGCACTACAGGGAGGCCCTCAAGATTTTATAGTTTAGGAAATAAAGGATCAATAAAATAAAACTTGTCAACCCAGTAAATCTGCTGACTGAGCATATTCTTACACACTTACATCCAAAAACATCTCTAAAAAATAATGAAATGTATTCATGGGCTTAGATACTTCTTATATTAAACAGAAAAAAAAATTGTATTGAAATTCAATCCCTACTCAATTTAAGGACATTTTCATTTCTTCTGAAAAACCATCAGATAAAAATGAATTTTAGAAATGAAAGGCCAACACATAGGGATTTGGACTGGACCAAGAGGAGTGGGTGGGCAATGCATTTGAGAAACATACTGTAACTCAATGAATAGGCAAACTGTCATCACACTACGAGTGTCTCAACCAGAATTGTGGTGATTCTTTTTCTACCATTTTTAAAATGAGAGGTAAATTTTAATTAAGCACAAAACTAGCCAGATATATCCATTCTCCATCGTCCAGCTTTAAAAATTATAAACTCAAGGGCCTCCCCTGGTGGTGCAGGTGGTTGAGCGCAGCACTGTGAAGGTGTCTGCAGCCTCTGCAGTGCCGTTTGATCCCAGCCAGCCAGCGAGAACCCCACATGGTGAGCAGACCTCTACTGTCACGCCCACTGCTCCCCTTGTTAGGGGAAAAAGGCTGTCCCAAAGCTAATTCCATACAGGCTTTGTGGACTCCACCCCCACCCCAGTGTTAGGGGGAAAAGGCTGCCCCAAAGCAAATTCCATACAGGCTTTGTGGACTCCACCCCCACCCCAGGCCAAAGCCAAAGACACTGGGAACTCTACATCCCATCACCACCCAAGGGAAGGTGGCTGGGACCTGAGGGTGGGGTTAAGCAGCCAGGTGGATACAAAAGGCAGACACGTGGGCTTTGGGGCTCTCTCCATTTTGGGGCCCTCGGCCAGCTCGCGGCGTCCGTCTAGCTCTGAGAGTGACTTTGGGTTTCCAGGTCGTCGGATCGGGTAGGACGCATTAAAGACTTTATTTCCCTATTTTCTCCCTGAGTTGTACATTTTCCTTATTTCTTTTTCTCTTGTAAATAAACCTTTTATTAACCCTTTTGCGTGTGTCTGTAGTAGAGTATTCATAAGTCCCTTTAAAGCGCGCGGGTGAGGACCCACAGCCAGGAACCCGTTTAATATCGGGGTTGCTCTATAACACCCTCAGCAGTATGTTTCAGTCAGTCTGCCTGTTCTGTTCCCCGCTCTGTCTCTGGTGAATCCTCTCACCCTCCTGTGCCTCTGGCCTGTACCCCACCTCTTGTATAAATAAATCTTTAAAAGAAGTTACAAGAAAAAGAAAAAATTATAAACTCAAACCTAATCTTGTTTCATCTATGCTCCGCCTCACAGATTATTTTGAAGTCTCTAATATCATATTTTGGTATATAGCTCTAAAAGATAGAACTTGAATCAAATTCTCTCAGGTTTTCATGCTTTTTAAAGTTTGTTTGAATTTGGATCCAAATAACATTATTCTAATTGAAGAAACAGGTCACTGACCTCCTATGGTTCTACAACCTGGATACTGTTGATGACATACACATGCCTCTGTCCTCTGTATATCCTGAAACAGTTGGATCTTAGAGGCATGACTAGAGTAAACGTAACTTCTTTTTTTTGCCCTCCAAGACTACACACAAGGGTAGTGTTTTCTTCCATAAAAAAAAGGCACGTTCAATGCCTGAATGCAACCATTCTAAATCAATCCATATTCATTTATTGAAAGGAACAGTTCTATTAAAAAAAAAGATTTTCTACTTGGTTACCCAGTGATGGTTTATAAAGTATGTCTTTTTTCCCCACTCTTGCTATTTACTTGATTTCAAAACAATGTTGGTTCAGTACCATTTCCCCAAAGTGATTAATGAGCTTGTTCTTTTATATATATATATAAAATGTTCATGTTACCACATATTTAAACATACTTGATGTGCTTTGATCCCCTGTAGTTAACGTTACTGATACGTGACATGTCCTATTATCACCAGTGGAAATGTCTTTAGTTGGCTCCCAAGTGCCACTGACCAATCCTTAGAAGTATTTTTAGGGCCTCCCTGGTGGCACAGCGGTTGAGCGCTGGGTTGCGAAGCTGCCCGCAGCCTCTGCCATGCCGGTTCGATCCCCGTTCGATCCCCGGCTGCTCCACGGCCACAGGAGGAGGGCCCCACATGGCGCGCAGACCTCTCCTGCCGCCCGCTGCTCCCCTCAGCAGTGTACTTCGGTCCTTCTGCCTGCTCTGCCCACCGCTCTGGCGCTGGTGAATTCTCTCACCCTCCCGCGCTTCTGACTGTACCCAGTGCTTGTATAAACAAACAAACAAGTAAATAAATAAATAAATAAATAACATGCCTCTATAAAAAAAAAAAAAGAAGTATTTTTAAAAAAACCTTGCCACCTGATAAGTAAGATGGTCCCAGTTTATCTCATACATTTCCTGCCCCAGATGTAGGACAGACATGCAGTCCTTTCTCCAGGATCCCTGATTCCTTTTGATGGAGGATGATATTCAAAACCACAGTCAAGATGG